TAAACTAAATTAAATTAAATTTGATTTAAATATTACATAAAAGTAATTTAACTAAAAATTTAGTTACAAATTTAAGTACAGCACTATTTAAAACCGCACTAATCAAGGAATTTACGTTACACTAAACAGCACAAAAATAGACTTAATTGTATAGAGTTAAAAAACGATTATTTTTGTATCAAAACGTAATTTTGTCGACTAGTTTGTAAAATTTATTTTTACTCTTAATTAAAATTTAGTTTGTTTTGAAATAGTTAATCCGTACTGATTAAAACCGCACTATGCGAGAAAATTCTATATATAAATTCTAACTAATTATTTATTTGCAAAAAAAAACAATTTTTTATTTACCTTGTTCCAAAGATTGATACCTAATTGATGCGTGCTGTTAAAATAATGATGCGAATGTGACGTTCGAAATAAAAAGTAATAATGTCATATTTCCTAGCAGCAATTAAGCTCATTACACCGCTAATAACGCAAGTATGGAACTGGTTTGAAGGAAAGAGAGAAAAAGTATGGTTTTGTATAAATATCAATTATTTATTCAGAAGTAAATCTGCATAATAATAATAAATGCAACAAATAATATCCAATGGGATGCGATGGATGCGAGTCCCAACCCATGGCTTATGCACCTCTCTCAATTGGTTGGAATTGACCAATTGCTTGTAATCACCTTCAATTGGCGCGGCGCGGCAATATCCAATTGCAGGATTTTTGATCGCTCGACAAGTCTGCAAAGATGAGAAATGGTTTGTTAGAAAAAAATGTTGCTTAAGTTTTTTTGTATCAACAACATACCTTATAATCGTATCGAGCTTGTGGTAATCCATAATTCCCAGTTTAAAAATCTTCTGGATGATGATTTTATAGTAATAGGTATTCACTTTGCGAATGGGACAATGTTTCTTTGCCCATAACCACTGCACTTTGAAGCACTTGATGATGATGCACTTGATCCGGTTGAAGATAAAGAGCTGTTTGATGATCTCGTTTTCAATTTCCGGTTGTTGTTGCTGTCCGGATGAAGGAATTTGTCGATCATCTGGCGGATGGTGCAGTGTTTGCGGTTGAACGGATTGGTGTACATCTTTGATTTGTTGTTGTAGTTTGTTTGGTAAGAACGCTGTTGTTGTAGCTTGAGCTGTTCACTGTGCGGACTCTGGATGAGTTGTGTTGCTGTTTGCTGGCGGCGCTCGTTTATATACGAGGAGTGCATGTTGGAGACACGATCGAAGGCCAATGTCAGGTGGAATCGTTTGACGTCAGAAAAAGCTTCGTTCCTTTTATTACAACTGCATACCTGCGTGTAAACATCCAAAATTTCGAGAATTCCCTGATCGCTTCGATATCTGGACATGTCCATTAATCCTCGGCTTACGCACATCCAATTCCAATTTGTATTTAGTATAAAACGGAACTTTGTTTTTACAATTCAAACCTGAATCGACTATGTTCTCATCAATAAAAATACACGCGAAAAACTTATGTGAGGCGAAAATATCATCTTTAACTAGAGTATAATTGTTAATATTCGAATAATTCTTCCACCCGACATAAAACAATACTTTTTATTATAGTAGTAAAATCAATATTTATTAATGTATTTCATGAAATTTAACAATTTTTTCTCTATTTTGCAATTTTGTTGGATATTTAACTAATTTCAACTAATAATAATAAATACAAAGAATAATAAACAAGTAAAGAATTATAAATAACTAAATTTAAATGAAGTGAGGAAACTTTCAAATTATTTTTCTTAACTTAAAAATTTGTTTTTCGTTTTTTTTTAATATTTTTCTTTAAATATAATATTTCGAGCTTATGGTAATTTTTAATCCATTTCCATCCATTAATTTGCATATTATAATTGGATAATTTTTATATTTTAAAGTAATCCACACTTATCCATTTTGCAGTAAATTTCAAATTCCTAAATATCTTAATATCAATGAGTAACCATACTTTCGGATTTACTATAGTCCAAACTAAATTTTAACACAAACTTATTTTTGAATATTATATATAATATTTATATATTCACAATACAAAGTTTATGATTAATTTTCTTGATTTGGTTAGGATTTTCCGACCTTCAAATAATCCACTGAGTAATAAAAATGTAACGAACAGTAATTCAAAATTCCCAGTTTTCCATTCCTCAATCCAAAGAACAGAAATATCTCCCATAGTGCGGATAATCGGTTTTCGACAATATCCTGTTTGAAACTAGACTTATCGAAAAATTTGGTTAAAAACCGCACTGTTCGAATCCATACTATGCGAGGTATTGTTCTATTCATGTGTCTAGTATTTGATGCGTTTCTAATGCTTGTTTATTTATTCACAACACGAAAATTACAAATAACTTAATTAGAATAAGCCATAAAAGTCTATAACTAACATTCTGGATTTAACGATTGTTTCTTCAATTTCCAATTCCATCTTTCAAATAATCCATGTACTAAACATATTTTTTAAGCGTTTTTCATTATTTATATAGCCAAAATATATAAATAATTTATTTTTTTGTACAGCTATTAATTTTTTGTAGTATTTATAATTTGTTCTACAAAAATAATCCACTTTTCCAGTATTAATATTTGTTTACTGTTTTTTTTTTTTCTATGTATAAATTTGCAACACAAAAATAATAAACAACTTAATTATAATGAAAGTTTTTAATTATATTTTTTGACCTACCAATTTGTTCTCCATTTGAATCGTCAATAAATCACTTTAGTAAACTAGTAAACATTTTTTTTTAAATTTAAACACATTTAATAAAAAAAATCTTATATTATAGTTATTAGTTTCTAGCCCATTTTCCAATTCCATCCTTTAAATCAGAGGTTTCAAACTCAGTTCATATCTGTATGTTTCTAAAACTATAAGTATCTTGTTTACATCAAATACACAATTGAAATGTGTAAAATTACTTCGGGGCAAGTGTGTGTAGTTGAATAGTTTGTACAGCATTTTTCAATTTGATCCTTCAAAAATATTTAATTATTTAACATATTTGTGAATTTCAAGAAACATATGTGAATTAAATTTAAATTTTAAATCTTCTTTTGTATAATCATTGTTTATTATCTATTTGCTAATAACATTATCTAAACGAAGTTTAAATGCGTAAAATACATAATATGTCCAATTCAAATAATCCACATATTTTTTTTTAGTAATTTTGGTATAATTCCATCAATAAAATTATAAATAACTTAATTTCTAAGAAGTGATAAAAGTTATAATTAACTTTTTTGCACTATGTTCTATAAACATGCATTACTTGTCCAAATATTATTGCATTTAATATATGCGCATTAATGCTCAAGCAAATTCACGAAAATAACAGAAAAACAAGGATACAAAATGAAATCAATGTTAATCGAAATAAATAAACATTTGTATATGTACAAATATAACTAGATTCATCAGGAAATTTAACACTTATCAATTTCATTTTAATTGCTTCAACTATGCATATTATGTAATCAAATAAACTAAATCCTAACTTATATATTTTCTGTAATATTTTGTCATTATTTGAGAATAAAACTTATATTTTTTTTTGAATAAATCTTTTTAATCTTTTTTTTTGGTAGAGGAGAGGAAACCTTACATGGAGAACACGGGTTGAGTCGTGGTTCTCTGGGATTCTTACCGCACTAAAACCTCTCCCCTTTTTCATCAGCATCCAGGTCCGGTGTTTTCACATGTCTCTGCAATGCAGATTGTCTGAGCAAGCTCTGCGCTTCTAAGTGAGTCCACTAACACTTTCTTCCCTTTCACCTCGTCATTTTCCACAATATTGAACACCCGTGTTACGTAGCATGTGATGATGTCCCACTTCTCTTGGCTCTTCAGCATCTCGTCAACAAACGTCTCCGGTCAATCTTTTTAATCTAAAATTAGTTATATACTTGAATTCGGTTTAAAAGGAAATTTCTAAAATATATAGTTCACAAATTTTTTAAAATTATTACATTGAATTTTCTTTAGAAAGTTTCATAATTACATAATATAATATTAAATATAGACATTCAAATACAAATGTTGTAATAATTGTAATTTAAAAAAGTTATTTATTACATATAAAATAAATTAGATAAACTTTAATAGTATTTTTTTTATGTATTTGTACTATGTGTTCTATAAACTATGGACTTTAGTCTATAGAACAAAATTAATCTAATTTAGTTTCACTAGTTTCTCATAAAATTAAACAAAATGTTGTGACAACAAAATTACATTTTTCAACAAGTAATTTTAACAAATACTTATAAATTTCTACAAAGATTATAAAATTAAAAAAAAATATAATAGAAATTGAATTTACAAATTATACAAAACCAACTTTTAGTCCTTTGAACAACTCATATAATTTCATTAATTTATCATCATTTCATGTCATTATTTGAGTTTTTTCATAATTTCTAATATCTTTAAAAAAATATTCAAATATACTTTAAGGTATAGTAAATATTTAGCAGTTAATCAAATCTTAATTAACTAGAGCAATATTTAAGATATATATTTTACAGTTTAAATATTGGATTAAAATTAAGAAACAAATATCAACTATAAAAAAAAATTCTTTAAATTTTAGAAAATTTGACCTACTGGAAAATGTGAACAAATTGAAATGATTTGCATTTATAAGTATCGTGATGATTTGTTTTTGTGGCTTTTTCTTTGTTAAATTACTTGTTAAATTGACGTTTACATACTTTGTTTACTAAGTATAATTAATTACTATCGTCTCTTGACGTAGTCTTGAGATTTTTAATTAATTTTCTTGAAATTAAATTCCATGTATTTTGCGTGCGAAATAATTACGTTGACAACAAAACGATGTCTAGTTTTACACAAACCACAAACACAATTACACTAATTGTAGTTTCTTAAATTAAAATTCCAACCAAATTTTAACAACAAGTACTAAATTTTATTGTACCTAATTTAGACTATCGACATTTTTTAGTTAAGATTTTTATTATGGTCAAAAGTGAAATAACAGAAATTTACAAAAAAAATATTCAAATAATTAAGATATTATGGTTAATAGTAATGTAACAGGAAAACTTTCTAACAAATAAATTTATATTTTTTCCATAATTGTTCAAATTATATAATTGTGAATCATGAAATATAAAAAAACATTACAAAAATATTGAAATAATTCGATTAAAGTTCTCAATATTCATTTAATGGAGAAGGTTTCTAACAAATAAAAAATATTATTTTTTACAATATTTTTGATTATGTAATGGCCTCTTCGGACATTTGGAAGACCATGCAGCATGATCCTCCGAGTTGCAGGCCATGCATTGGGTTTTGTGGTGGTGGTTTGCGGCTGTTAGTAGCGAAAAAAAAGGACAAAAATATTCAAATCTATAGAATATTCTGGTCAATAGTTATTAAATAGGAGAAACTTAACATTTTTTTCCAATTATTTTATTTTATAATTATTCATAATGAAACATGAAAACAAAAAGTACAAAAATATTCAAATCTATAGAATTATAAGTTTCCTAACTTTTTTTTTCAATATTATGGTCAATAGCCGTAAATAGAGAATTCTATTTAATGCAAATAAATTTACGTTTTTTTTAGCTTTATTTTAATAATGACACCTAACCATTTTTTTTTTCAATTTTTTTGTCTCTCATAATTATCACAAATATTCAAATAAATATAATATTGAAAATAACGATTATGACTTTATAAATTATAGATGTAAAATCATTGAATTAAGCGTTCCATAATTTGATCAAAATACAGTTCGAATAGATAGATAATTGTAGAAGAAACTTCCTGAGAGCAAGTCACATTAGCGAACGTGTATTTATTAGGTAAATTAGGCACGTGCAAAGGAGAAAAGCATAAACACCAATTGCCACGAACCAATACGTTCGCGACGGTTATTTATACCTATAAATTCATTAAAACAAAATGTAGTTTGTCGACCTTATAAAACCCACACCTGAGACTACACAAAACCGTAGACAACTAATGGCATTGTAATAGAAAGTATCGCATCTCGGAAAAAAATAAAATAGCAATATTTTTTTGCAATAATTCCAAATCTATATGTTTATTTTGAGAAATTCGAAAAGTGGATGTGTAATATTCGAATTAATTAATATTTTTGTCTCCGCTTTTTCTGTCCTAAAACCAAGCTAGGTTCAAAGGTCGCAGAAATACGCACGAAGCGCAGTGAAAGTAGTTTTTCTTAATTACCTGTATCCTAACGATGCTTTTAATTGGACGCCGCTTCCAACGACGCACTTCTTATTTAGTCATTAGCAAATTTTGGGATTCAATACAAGTTCTTTGACCTATAACAATCGTTATTATCTGATTAGATTTGTAGATACGTAATTCAATACAAAAGTTTCTGATTCTATCTATTTACTCGTTGTTTCAATCCATTCAACAAATTTGATGAAAACTTAACGAAATGTTAAGGATGTGTTAATTGCCTTTCTCGTAATTTCCCAAATTCGATCCGGTTGTGAACATTAATATTAATGAATGCT